CCCCTCCCCGGCCCCGATTGTTCCCCTAAACCCTAGGGTCCTTCCACGGGGCCCTGAGCCTCCACTACAGCCGGGTGACGGTGCGCGCGCCGCGGCCCTTCAGGTGCGCCTTGGACGGGCTTTGATAACGGGCAACGCGAGTGCAGAGGAGGGCGCGGCAAAGTGGATGCCATGTCGGTGTTGTCCAGGGCGGACGGCCCCACCGGGCATTCTGCTGCAGCCATTTCACCAGCCCAAGCCGCTCCCATGCGTCGGCCGCGCTGGCCCGCAGCGCACAGCCTGGTGTGCGGCTCCGCGCTGGGGCGGCGCTGAGCAGCACTGACGTCACGCCCAATGGCACACACTCATCAGGTGCTTCTTGGAGTCAGAGCAACTGCTGGGCCCCTGCCCCCTCCCCCACTATTTGCATTGCACCCATACATTACAGGGAGGCCTACCGCCAGGCGCATTCCGACGTGCCACTCATGGCCAAGCTGCCCCTCATGAGCCGCGAACAGCTGATGGAGCGCGCCGCGCAGCTGAGCCTGACGGCGCCGGTCGCGCCACACGCGGCAGGTGGGATGCTGCTGGAGGGGCGCGGCGCTGGCTCTGTGGTGGCAGGGGGCCGGGCGCGCCATCGCTTCACAGAGGTCCCTGGCAACAAATGTGTGCACTGACTCTTGACTGCATTCAAATGATTGTCAGCCGCATGTGCACTCAGATGTGGCTGTGCGTCGTGTGCCCCACTCCACGCGGGGATGCCGCACGCACCGTCTGCCCTCCGCCCGTGCGCCCCTGCACTCAGGGGAGTTCCTGTGGGAAGCCGGGCTGCAAGGCATGTTCCGCACCGGCGACTGCATCTTCCAGCCCGCCGGCAGCGGAGGAGGATTCAGCGCAGCCGCGGCGCCCGTGTTGGCACCGTCCTTGCCAGCAGCAAGGCAATTACCGCCGCCGCAGCAGCAGCCGTGGCAGCAGTGGGAGCCTGGGAAGGGGCAGGAGCGGCAGGGCAAGCGCCAGCGCTGGATGAGGGAGCGGCTCGCAGCGATGGGGTCTCCGCTCGCACTGGCCGTGGCCGCTTGCGATGACAGCGGCGGCAGCACCCAGGGCGGCGGCGTGAACGGCAGCGGCGGGGGCGGCATTGGCGGCAGCGCCGGCGACGCGGTCGCTGCGTTGGACCTGCTGACATTCACCAGGGGCGGCGCTGCGGCACAGCGCGTCGCTGCGCTGGTGGCGGCGGACTGCTCGACTGTCGCGGGGCAGCTGGGCGCCGGCTTGGAAGGGCAGGGGGCGGGCCCCCTCGTGACGCAGCAGCGGCTGGCGTGGGCATGGGCGTCTCCGCTGACTGGCAGCGGCTGGACAAGGGCTGCGAGTTGACGGCCATGTGCTGTGTAAACTTGTGGTATTTCTGGCGTGGTCGGGTCGGGTCCACGCCCATGACTGTTTGATGTCAGGCGCTGGTCTCAATTACTGCACGTGCCGAGGGCCGCGCGGAAGGGGGGGACGCGGGTGGTCTGTGGCACGACTCTGGAACGACGCGCTGTGCTAGTAAGGCCAAAACCCATTCGTGCGACAGCTGATGAATTCATCCTGAACGTGCAAGCAGTGACAATTTGTGTTGACCAAGTGGCGTGTCCTAGGGCCGGCCGTCACAGGAGCCAGAGCCTTTCTCACAGGAAATGTAGCAAGCAGCAGTGTGACAAGGAATGTGGGGGTATTCTTCCCTGGAGTGTGTGGGAACCTTGGGTTTGTGGTGCAAGGGATACCCGATCCACCGGTGGATACGCCTTGTTACATTGATGCATGCAACAACCGTGTGATGACCCAAGCAAACGAGCCTGCAGCCTCCCTGGCCCCCACTGGCATTGTTGTGCGATCTGCAGGTGCGGTGCGGTGAGCGGCGCGGTGAGATCTGGGCAAAACGCACAACTGCGACAATCCAATTACTATGAGTAATGATATAAGCCGTACCCACCCGCCTGTTGCTCAGTGGCCTGCAGTCTCTCTCTCTCGTGTCATCTCTGACTCACGCCTTCCGGGTGAGGCTCACAAGTTTGGGCCTTGCCGGCCAACGGTAGTGTGCGCATTCGATATGAGCATAGAAGTGGTCAGAGTGATTGCGGTAATCAATCCATGCAGCCAGGATCTATTGTAGCCTGGCACCCACCGTTTGGACACCCAGGTGCGCACTGCACTGAGATAAGCGACAATTATCAATGCAAAAATGTTTCAAAGATATTAAGATACCCTGTTGAACGTGTCGGCGCTCTCAAACGACGCGGTGGCCTCGGATTGCCGGCCACTTCGCCTTGCCCTATGATGTTGCGAGCGAGCTAGAGACCGATATCGCGCTCTTTGGCCAGTGATCAATTCAAAACACCCACTGATACTAAGCATCAAGCCTTCTTTGCCTGCTGATCCTGACACACAGCCGCCCACTGCATACCAGTGGCCGACCCCCATTTCACCGGGGTGCCTTTCAGGCGGCCCGCGACGCTCGTATTCAAGCACACAAGTCAATCCACATTGACACAATGTGTCGCATGGACGCCATCGTGCTGGGCCTCCTGGCGCTGGTTGCAGGTGCGTGGGCACGGCGGGTGGTCGGCGGTTGCTCCGCACCAAGTTTGCGGCAACTGCAGCAGGGGAGGATTGCACAAGGCCCCGTCAACGAGTTTGGCTGCTGTGCTTTGTCGATTTTTTGGCTTCGTTGGGACCCGTCTGGACGCATCGGGAGGCCTGATGCCCCTGCGTCCTGGCGGCGGTGCGCTGTCATCCCAGCCCCACGAGCACATGTGCTGCCGTTCTGTGCTGCCCCCGTGTCATGGCCTCATGGCTTCGCGGCGCTGTCGCCAACCTTGAGGTCCAGGGATTGAGTCCCAATCCTGACTCGCATCCCAATTGCGGGATATCTAGGGAGGCCAGTGCTATGCGATGCAAAGCCCCGACCCACGCTGCACACGGCTAGGACAGCGGCAGCGTTGGTAGGGGCAGCCGACAAATGATGACCACACGTTGTTTGCATAGGCAGTGCCACTCATTCAGGAAATTCGGGGCTCAACGTGGTGCCTGGTGACGGCGCGAGTCGAATAATGAAGGGGGAGGGCATGGCCTGCAGGGGGGCGGGCGCAACTCACCTCACACGCACACACGCACGCACGTACGCACACTCATCCACAGCCCTCCCAACTTCACCCCACTCCTGTGGTTGCCCCTCCAGGTTGCACTGCGCAGGCCAGCCCCAAGGCCGTCCCAAAAGCTGCACCCAAGGGGGCGTTCACAATCAAGCAGAGTGGCAGCAACACACTCGAGGTCAAGGCAGTCCAGGACAAGAAATCCTCTGTTGGTTATTGCCTGGAGATCCTCGCCTACCTCTATGACCTTCCCGACAAGACAGGCGACCTGCCGCCGGGCTACACTGTGGTGGGCGCCTGTGCTACGTGGCGCACCTGCCCCAAACCCGTGCTGCCACGCCTGTTTCCAATCCAAATGGCCCCTTCTCCCCAAGCCCAACAATTTGCATGCATGCATGCATGCTCTGCGGCGCTCACTGCCACAAGCCCTCGCTCCACCATACGCTCCCGCCAGCTCTGCCCTACTGATACGGCCATCAACATCTTCCTGTTCCGCCTGGGCTACAAGTCCTTCATCAAGGATCCCGTGCAGTACATCGCCGACAATCCGACTCTTAGGCCCTTCATTCAGAGGGTGAGCCTGCTGTTTGACAGCTACTTGGCAAGGTCAGGGCGCAAGCAAGCAGACACGTGCTGGACACGGCATAGGCAAGTGCAGGCTGCTCAGCGCGTGGCAAAACATGGCGCATTGCCTATGTTTGCAGCTGGTGGCGTGCTCCATGGGTTGCTTTAAATGCTGGCCGTCGCTGGCTGCAATCGACTTTGAGCTCTCTGAAGCCTTAACCCCAACCATCTGCCCAGGTGTTTGCTTACCATCTGATTCCCAATGGTGCCACTGGCCCCACCTTCGGCATGTAAGCAGCAAGACATGCTCAGCGCCGCCGTGCCCCGCAAGTATTGTTGACCCATACACGTGCTCCCTTGCATTGAGCCGTTGCGCTGCGCAAAAATGATTGCACGCCCTGTTCAGAGCTGACGGATGCATCCACCACCAACCCCCCTCTGGCAGTGAGTTTCCCCAGGCAGTTTCCAAGGGCTACATCCCTACAACACCCTACAATACGGCCGCCCTTGCGGAAGACGGCACGCCATATCCTCTTTTCATCGGAAACTCTAAATACTTCAGGTGTGCACAGGAAATCAAGCTGCAATTAGTTGACCGACGCGTCTCCAATTACTGTGTGTCGGCGAGCCGCAGCATGTTTTGGGGGGTTTGGCAGCTGCGACAAGCGTAGTGTTGGGACAAAGCATTAAGCAGACACAGCAATGCCTGCTCACTGCATTAGGGGTCCTGCTCCCCTCTCGCAAGGTCCACGCGATGCACTAGAATTGAAGAGACATGCTGCAAATGATGTAGGGCATCCCGTTTTGCCTGAGTTGCTCCTGCCCCTCCATATCTCCCTAACTACTGGCTTTCTTGACCACTGCGGCCTTCTGACCTCCACAGATTTATATACATCAACGCCTCGATCACGTCAGGTCCCTACCCTACAGACAGGGGCAACCGCGCGATATCGTTTGTGTATGAGGTGGCCCTCCTCAAGCAAGGCGCTGTTGCTGTGTCCCTGGCCCACGCAATCAACAAGGTGTGTGCGTGTGCGCACCTGCGCGCGAGGTCCTACTGGTATGCAGGCTGAGAAGGGCCGGTCAAACGCGGGCGCACACAAGGGATGTAAAGTGCGGATGGGCGTGCTGTGTGCGGTGCACGCACGCACGCACGTGCGCGTGCCTGCCTGTGCCTGCCTGTGTGTGTGTGTGTGTGTGTGTGTGTGTGTGTGTGTGTGTGTGTGTGTGTGTGTGTGCATGCGCATTTGCTTGCGTCTGTGCGTGCGTGCATGCGTGCGCAAGCGCTGCTTGTGTGAACCCTGTTTTTCAGTTTACAGGTGCCAGGCTATTATATTTGCTGGGCCCCTCGGGGGTACCGTGCTATGCAAGATGGTATCATGTACTGCCCGTGCATACAGGCCCCCACTCGCCCGCTAATCTCGAGGTTTGACCACTGATCCCCACAACACCAAGTGCACACACGCATTTTGCAACCACAGGTGCTGATTCCGCCCAACACATTTTTCAACATCAAGACAGCACTCCAGTACTACCCCAGCCGCTACACGGGCCAGCAATTCAGCTTTTCCAAGTTCCTGTACAGGTGGGGTCTTAGCTGCACTCCCCATCACCAGCACGCAACGCGGAGTGGCTCTGGTCGCTAGCAGCCTTGTGCTTGTGACGATGTGCTGCGCGGGCGCATGCCATCTGGGAATTGCCTCAGCAACAACAGAGTAAGCAAGGCCGACCAAACGCATTCATTGCTGCAATCAAGCTGTCCTACATGGCAATTTTACAATGCGCAGGTGGGTAAGTGCTGGCGGAAAGTCCTACACTACTGCAACGACTGCTGTCACGGTGAGCAGCGGGCACGACACAAAAGTGCAAGGAGGTTGCAATCTCGAATGGCATACCAGTGCTCACCCGTGCGTTTCCACACTTGCATGAGGATTTGGTCTGATAAGCAAGTGCGGCGCGGCGGCCTTGGACATGACATGCAGCGTCACCCACCTGCATGCCCCTTATCTGCTTACGGCCCTACAGTTGTTTGCCTCCACCGATAAGGCTTGGACGACTGGTCTTGGCAGCGGCATTGGCAGCGTAAACCCTAGTGTCCTCACCAAGGGCAGGACAGCCAGGAACCTCCAGCAGGCGCTCCTCAAGGTGCTTGCCAATCTGAGTCCTTTTGCTGCTTGGAACCATGCTCGGTTGGTCAAGTGTATTGGCAACAAAGGCAACATACACGTTTGGTGCGGCACAATCTGCATTGATTTGCCCCAGATTGACGGCTTGGTGTCCTGACCCCTGGTGCATCATCCTGCCTCGCAGTACACGCAAGCTCCAGGCGCACTCAATTGGCAGGGCATCAACGGCACGTATGGTGCAGGTTTGCCGTGGACCACTCTCAATTCCTTCCTTCGCAGCGGTGCGGTAGGCCCAAACCTGCTGTCATCCCTGCCGATTGGCTCGGGCAACTATTCCACCTTTGCGTGCGCGGCCAGCAACACCACACTCACGGCGCTTGGGTCTGCCAACAACAATGCTACACAACTCAGCACTACCAGGCCCTACTTCACTCTTTACGCTGGTGGGAACAAGCAACCAGTGTGCAACAACTTTTACCTGAGCCGCGCTTGTACTGACACCACGTGCTCGTCACCTGCTCGAATGTGCTGCAGTCAGTCAAAACATCCATGCATTCAACCCACCTGCAGTGTTGCTGCCTCGCCCTGCAGTTGACGTCAACTTTGTACCTCTTGGACACTTCGCAGGTGCCTCCACCATCTACTTTGTGGATGATTTCCCCCTCATCCCCTCAAACACTGGGGTGTGAGTGTTAGATCATCATGTGCGTCACGTGGTGCTTGCGGCCCTTGTTGGACCAACATGCACAGTGGCAGACCTCGTACTGGGGATGTACAACTCATCATGGTATGTTGTGGCTTGCAGGTACGAACTGTTGATTGGGTGGCCGTGGCATGTGCACAAGACCTTGGACCTGTGAGGTTGGAGAAAGGTCAGCTGTCAGCTTAGCAAATAGTTGAGAAGCACTGTTTTTTTGCACAATTCTCAGGTGACACATGATATTTTTGAGCCCCCTTTATCAGGGGGCCAGGCACCACGACTTGCTGACTGACACAATTGCAAGCTACTCCATGTTGACAGGAGGCTGAAGGCTTGGCATGCTTAAGATTTTGGACCAACTTAGCCCTGTGCATGATAATCAAGTGGATTGCATTGCATTGCAGCTTGCGTGCAACAACTCGCATTAGCTGGCGTACATTTTGCATCTATGTGTTACAGGATCAGAATAGCTTCACGTGCGTTTCACAGAGTAAAGATGTTGATTTTGTCACATGGACAGTCACCAGGCAAAGCTGCAGGCGCATGGAACCCCCAGAAATTGCCGTCTTTGCTTTGTGTTTGTTGCGTAGTATCAGATGCACACAGATCATGTGGCCAGTCACCTGGAGCAAGGATCTGGCATACACACAGGTACCAGGCAGGGCTGCGGCTGCGGGAAACCCCGAAAACCGCATCTGTGCAGGTGTCGTCAGTATCTCATGTAACTTCACATGCATTAAAAACCGTCATCGGTCAAGCCACAACGCCGCAAACCTTCCCCCAGCGTCAGAGTTGTTCGGGGCAGAGGGGGGCCCAGTACCACGCGCAAAAGCAGGGACCCAAGCATAACACTTAAGCAATCAAAGCAGGGCATGGGGCGCGCCGACCCGCACAACGCACACGGTCATAGCGACCGCGGGGCAGGGGCGCGCACCACCCATCCAAGCAGAAACCCCTGGCCTAATGGAGAACAGGGTTGGTTTCAACAGGGTTGGCCCCGTTGCCCCTCCTTTTTTATAGACAGTCGGTTACACGGGGTTAGCGATGTGCCGAGCACCTGCGTGCAACCTAGGATTAGGATTGTTACAGCGTCCCGCGGTCACCCGCTCCTGGAGCCATCCAGGCTCATGGGATTGTACAGTAAAGCACCAGCGTTGTGTGACTGAGAGTCAGGTGGCTACCGTGCGCCATTCAAA